AGAGTATTATAATTTATAGTCTCTGGTTTCACTTAATTTGATCCAAATTGAGTCAAATGGTGCGCACCATAGTGAACCGGGATTACGTCAGCAGAGTGCGTGATGTATTTTAGTGCACTGCTAGCAAGTCTATGCTAGGTATAGACAAAGATAGTACATAACAAGATGGGCCACTTCTCTCTTTGAGCCAATTAAAAAAGTGTCCTCAAAATTTGGTGGCGCCCTCTTCACAAAAGCGCACTCTTTGCGAACAGAGTTACCCTACTTGAGTTTTAACAAATCAAAGTGAAACTAGCAAGTTTTGGGATAAATTTCGGAAGAACGCGCTATTCCTATTCTTCTTCTGGAAAAACGAAAGAGAGCTTCAAAACAGACTGCAGCGCCATCTGAAGCAAAGAGCATACTTCCTGCGGACACTTTTTTGGCTGAGTGGCCCATCTTGTTATTTACTATCTTTGACGTACCCGAACTGCTGATGAACAGCAGTCGATCTGCGCACGCAAGGAGGTGCTATTCCTATTCTTCTTCTGGAAAAACGAAAAAGAGCTTCAAAACAGACTGCAGCGCCATCTGAAGCAAAGAGCATACTTCCTACGGACACTTTTTTGGCTGAGTGGCCCATCTTGTTATTTACTATCTTTGGTATAGACTCCCAGCTTTTCTTTGTTTTGAGTGCAAAGTTCAAAATCAAGGTCATCCTTAATCTCACTACAACATCTCATGTGCAGTTTCTTCATTTTTCAACTTTTGAATTGTACGTTTTCTGCTTGCTCTGCATATGCTTACATTATTATTGTTTTGTTTGGGGTTTATTTGGTGGAGGGAGACATACGGATAACACAACATGCAAATAAGCGCTGCTAAAAGTAAAGGAAAACAATTCAGATTTTTATCCAATCCTCACTCTGACTCCGTCGGGCATGAAACTTTTGTTTCCAAGTGGACCCCTCAATGGATCCTTTTGCCCAAAAGCGGCTGGTCATTTGAACTGTGATGGTCCGGATCTATGTCGCCAGCTGAAATCAGTATGGTATAAAAGAAAACTTATTACACTCGTAATGGTGGTAGACTATGATTTATCCTATTTGTAAAATTGCCACTCGTAGGATAAATCATGATCTACCACCACAACATATGTAATAAATTATGTATGTCATGCGCATACCTCAATAAAGTGTCGCGTCAAAAAGGACTAATCGATATTGTATGACGTCATGTATCTTGTGAACAAGTTGCTGAACTCTAGAGTGGCAAATAGTAGACCGGTATCCCACTTTTCCTTTTGCGAGTCGATAGCTTAGATGGTGTCATGCTGGACTATAATGACGTGCAGGTAAAACTGATTTGAAGACTGGTTGAGGCATTCTTGGATCTGGGTTGTATGGTTGTATGATGAGGTGTTAATACTTGACTTAATCCTACTGGAGATGGACTGTCAATTGGGATGTACCTTTTCTTTTTTTTAAAATACCCTAAAGGGCATAAACCCATACTATGCCATCCCGACCCCCAAAACAACACTCACTACTAACTTTTTGTTCGTATATTATGTACGTGCATACCTAAGTATGCGCAATTTTGTGTATGTGTGTGCGTGTGCGTGTATGTATGTATGTATTACGTGTGTGTGCGTGTGTGTATATGTGTGTGTGTGTGTGTGTGTGTGTGTGTGCGTGTGTGAGTTTGTGTGTGTGTGTGTGTGTGTGTGTGTGCATGCGTGTGTGTGTGTGTGTGTGTGTGTGTGTGTGTGTGGATGTGTGAGGTGGAGGGGAAAAGAGATGCTCTGGTGAACGCCACCAAGGCATACATACCTCTAGGCTGCGTGTCTTGAACCATGATGGAAGTCATGGATTTCAATCGGTGAATAACACAAAAGTCCAAGAGCGGAAATCGGGGTCGGGAGAAGAGAGCTTGGTTTCGAGACGAAGAAAGGTTTTCCTTTGTAACGATCGGCAGGACAAAACGTTATTCATTTTCAGGCAGGCTTTTTTATGTTTGGCTTCTTTCAGCCTCGTTTGCTGGGAAACGAAATAATGTCTATAATTTCTACCGTGGAACCTCCTTTTGCTTTTCTTGAACGTTCGTCTCAAACTCTAGTCTGGCCCCGCCCCGATTTTGAGCCTTATAGCTTTATTCTTCCTCTCTATCCTGCCATTGCCCTATATATGTATACATGTTCTAGCTTTTGCCCTCTGCTTATTCTGTCAGCTTAAAAAAATCTTGAACTTTTCTCCATCTATTTCATTCCAGTTTCAATTCGGTTTCGTTTACACTGTTTATTCATGTGGTATCATGCACGGTTTACACGCAGAGCACTTTGGTTCAAACTTCTAGCGTGGGAGGTTGGTGTGTGCTCTGGTGTAGTTTGCTCCTACTTTCCTATCCAACATCTATCGTCCATATCTCTCCTGTTTCTTTTCATTGTATGCTACTTTCTAGTAACACCTCTAATCTTGGGTACATAGTTATCCTTATGACCTATTATTTGTGTCGCAAATGCCGTAACATTCTTACCAAACTAAAACAAAATTCCCTCTTAGCAGGACCCTTCTTTACCTTCGATTGTTGGGGGACTTTTAATGGCTGTCAATGAGCTAGGCTCGATCTTAGCGGAAACAACTTTAACTCGACGGAACTGAAGCCTGTGTGGTGGGGGTTGGGGTTTCGCCAATGAGATTACTATGTGGACTTAATAGAGTGGCAAATCCATCCTGTATCACACTACCGTGTTTCAGGTCATAAACCCTTTTGTGAAGGTTTATAAAAAAAGAATTAAAACGTTTCTTTGTGATGACTTTAAAACAAGTCCAAGCAGGCAAGCCAAGACAGAAGAAGAGTCAGCAGGAGGCCTTCTTCATCGTTCGCTATCCCGTAGTCTGGCAGATCGTTGGGCATCACTATAGATTTACAACCAGTTTTTCCACTCCTCGCAGTTTTCAGCATTCCTTAGTATGACGTTACAGTCATGGCCGGTCCACTCTTTTTTGTTGTCTACCCATCGTTTGATCTGTATGCCTCTTCGTCTCTATCCTTGTGATGTGTCCTTTTCCCCATCGGTTGACGTCTTTTCAATGAAGTCAGGAGATTTTTCATACGACCCGATGGCGTTTCTAATTCTGGTTCTGACTACTTCATTGGTCAAAGAGCACTACCCCAAGCTTATGCTGCGAATGAATGACATCCTCATCAAGATACAATTTCGGCGATGTGGAATGCGGACAGCTGCTTCCACCTTGCTAGTCAAGGTGATTCCAGGCGGAATAGAATACAACATCGGAGCAAAAAGACAGAGACTTAAGTTAAAACACAGTTGAAACTTTCTAAGACAACCACCCATTGTCGAGGAAAAAAATGGCTGTCTTAGACAGCAGGTGGACATCTTGGACATTATCATAATAATACAGAACACGAAAACGAAGGAATGGAAGTGGGGTGTGGTCTGTTGTACAGGTTATTGATTAGGATAGGTGGCCGTTAGAACAGGTTCGACTGTAATCAGGGGCGAAGGCTGACTTGTTTGACAGGGTAATCCAAGTGAGATGGGACCAGATAGGGCCTGGAGATATCACACTCACACAAGTAACAAGAATCTTACTGGAGGCGGTAACTTTGAGTTGTGAATAAAAACAAATCCTGAATTCATGTTGTATACATATTCAACCGCTAAAATAATCGAGAAAGTATTTCATTAAATATTTATTCTAACTAACCTTAAATTTAACTTTAGATTTGAATACACGAACACCAAGAAAAGAAGCAGAGGTGTCAGTACTACAATGGCATGTTATACCAGACAGTCTAAACACTTTGGTAGAGCATGCCAATTATTTTTTTTTTCACATTTGGCTGTTTTTGTCTAGCAGTCCAGCTTTTCGCGGCCAGGGGCCGGTGTCATAATCGAGGTCACGATCTGATTATAGGACGTTAAAAAGTCGAGGAAAAAAAAACAAGCACTCGCAGCAGTCAAGATATCATTAGGAGTTAGTTCCCTTCACGTCTGTGAGGTAGACTCGACCAGTGTAATAGTTAGCTTACATTATCAGCGGGTGTGGCTGCTTATAACTGTGGCTCGAAAGGGGTGACCAGGGTATATGTGGCAATGAAACAGTTGACTGCTATGCACATGTTCCCTTCAACTCTATTGGTAGACTCTTCCAGCCTCACTTTAAGCTTACTTAATCAAAGCTTGTGACTGCTTATGGAGTGGCCCCATAGGGGCGAACAGGCTATTTCTGTGGCAATGAAACGGTTTTGAAGGTTAGGCATGTTCTATTGTTCACTGGTGATTATGAACGTCTTTTTATATTTAATTTATGAGGTTTATGTCTATGGGTGAATTTGACTGCGACAATGTTTCAAAATTAAGAAGGGAAGCAGTGATTATTAGAATATATAGACGCTTCGCCACTGACTGTAACTTCTACGCACAAATGACCATCGAGCCCACGTCTTCTGCGTACAACAGCGAAAGCCTTTCTATCATACCACAGATGACAGTAAAAGTAGGTCCTCTAAAGTAGACACGCACACCTCAGTTATTAGATGTACTGGTGATATATTTTTTTCACTGTACATGTATTGCCTTTGCTTTTTTTCCATCCTACTTATTCTTCTTTTATGTCACCACTGGGCCAATCGCTCCGCGTCGAAACTATCTGTTCGTAGAACTGCGATCTTTTAGTAAAAGAAAAGAAGGCAACGAACGACTGACAATTCTGTCCTTTTAATGTGAGTGTTTTAACGTCCCAAACCCCATCGACAAAATTGAGATTATTTAGGAGGCAGGATTCCATCACATCTGTCTGGACTAACCCTGGCTGAGAGGCAGGGATACACCGTTTCAGCAGAAAAAACTGAGATACTCCATAAACCTTTTCTCGCACAGGAATCGAACTCGTGTCTTCTGTTGCGACGGTGCAGCGGACAACGACTACACCACAGACGCCAGTCATTTATTTCTGGGTTAATTTGTACGTCGGCTGATAAAAGAAACCACCTGATAGTATCAGATATTTTTTTATTCAAACCAAAGAAACAGATCTGAACAAATGAAATAGAAAAGCTAAAACATGGAACAGAAATGGAAACGAAACTCACAAGACAAGACATTAAGGAATTATAAAAGAGACTACGATACATTTTTATGCAAGGTTACGTTAAGTCCAAGATTGCATACGTCAATTTGGTTCAATTCTCTATTTGAGGAACATGAAACAGCAACAACGAAAACAACAACAACAACAGCAACAACAACAACAACAACAACAACAACAGAACACCAAAACCCAACAAAACGAAACACCCCCCCCCAAAAAAAAGCAACAACCCAACAACAACAAAAAAGAAACAAAGCAAAACAAATTTTAAAAAAACACAACAGCAATAACAAAACCTCAACCCTGTTTCCAAAGATCAGGTAACATCACCTACTAAAAGGCACGTCTTTTAAGAGCACCCGATTTAGGAGGTATAGCAAATGTAAAGGGGTAACGTTGTTCAGTCACTCTTGACTTAGTTGATTTGGTTCGATAATAATAATAATTAAGACTGAATGTCTTACAGGTTGCTGCTGGTTTGCAGAACGATATCGTATCTTGATCCATATGATATAGATTTGAAGACAAATCTACTACTACTATTTGTTAGTTTGAATCGAATTCTGGACTTAAATCTAGTTTATATTGTTATTTTGACAAATTACAACAGTTCTGCCTAATTATTATTGCATGAGGAGCAGCGAACTGAGTCGATGTGTGGCCATTTGTTTACATCTCCATATCTTTGAGGAATCGATAAAAAAGAATAGACATACCGAGCAGCAGCTTTTAAAAAATGTAGCAAGCTATTGCTCCACAACATTGGTTTTTGCCTCGCTTCAGAGTAAAAGGAAAGGGACGATCATTTACATCCCCTACTCGGGAGGTTAGAGGTGATGAAAACAGTTTACAAACACCCGGCTTGTCGCAGTACGGAGTAACACTAGCCAATTTAAAGAGGGACTTCTTCTCTCCTCGAGAAAAGAGACAAAATTTCAAAACGACGTGGGTAGCTAAATCTCGACTGCTCAGTGTGGGATTCATTTGTAAAAATGGCGTATGTCTGAACCTTACAGAAAATAGTCGATCTTTTGGCGCGTCAACGACACTTTTTGTGAAGTGAACCATCTTGTTTGTATACAATCTTTAGTAAAGTTCAGTTTCGAAAACACTGATATACATTGGTCATTCCGGACAGGCTTCTAGCTAAAAGAAGAAAACAGTTTCTAGCTTGGTTATACAAGAGTCCAAAAGCTGTTGCTCTACAGGTCAAGGTGGATAATTAAGGAATGTCTTTGACATCGGAACACATCGATGAGTTGCAAGCAGTTGTCGTGATGAGGGGTCATAAGGTTGAAATCATGACCTCTCGACGTAGGCGGCACTTGGCTCTTCCAACTCCTGGGCCTCCTGTACCAGGGCGCAGCAGGTGCAGCAAAACACGATGAGCAGATCCTCCACAACGGTGCCCTCGATCCCTTTCATTTCCCGGATCTTGCCACGGACAATGAACTGAGCCACCACATTGGCTGGGGGGAGTAGGAAGGAGAGGCCACACAGCAGGCAGTTATCGCCCACCTTTTCTGCGTTTTTGCCTAGCTGGTAGCAGGGTACGAAGTAGGCGATCAAACACAAGCCGATGTTGTCGAAGCAACCGAAGAGTCCGTGTTGCCAGGTCATGGCTGAAGATCTCACTCACCGGGCAGACAGACGGGGAGTATAACTGGGAATCTACAGCAGACAAGGAATTCTTGCCTCAGGTCTTGCGACAGTTCTGTGGAGAGAAAGATGACTTTTTTTAAGTTTGTATGAGACATTTCGTGGACCGCACATTTGTCTTTACAGACGCCACACGCACTGAAATTGCTGAAAAGTTGTTCATTTTTTCATGTTCATGTCGGAGATGAACGCCACTTCCCCTATTATGGCTAGGAGCCCGGTAAGTTTTCGAACAGAAATTCACCCCCCGCCTCCCACCCCAATAAAAAATTAATTTAAAAAATAGAAAAGAAGGAAAAAACCCCAAGACATTTCACAGGTAATGGCGTTTTCATTATTACAGACCGTGACAAAGGCAAATCCATTTTATGAAACATGTGTAGGCCGGCCATCTATAATACTACCACTACTACTTCTACTACTACTACTACTACTACTACTACTACTACTACTACTACTACTACTACTACTACTACTACTACTACTACTACTACTACTATTACAATTACTACTACTACTACTACTAGTGGTTAGGCTACCGGACTCGTAATCGTGAGGTTGCGGGGTCGGGGGTTCGAGCACTTTACACGAATTTTCATCACTTCACCCAGGTGGAAATGAGTACCCTGCCGTAGACAGTGAAAGATCTTGTCAGTAGGTTAGTGTTCTAGCGCCTATAAATAGCTGCTAGCACTGTATGCTTCCCAGGAAGTTGAGTTTGTTTCAGAATGCTCTCAGGTCTGCTGTGGTAATAGTATAGATTGTGAAGCGAATAGAGCTTGCTGTTGAGCGAGTATTTGCGCTATAAACATGCTATCTATTATACTTATTATTTACTACTACTACTACTACTACTACTACTACTACTACTACTACTACTACTACTACTACTACTACTACTACTACTACTACTATTACTACTACCACTACTACTACTACTACTACTAATAATAATAATAGTAGTAGGTGGAAGAAGAAGAAGAAGAAGAAGAAGAAGAAGAAGAAGAAGAAGAAGAAGAAGAAGAAGAAGAAGAAGAAGAAGAAGAAGAAGAAGAAGAAGAAGAAGAAGAAGAAGAAGAAGAAGAAGAAGAAGAAGAAGAAGAAAAAGAAGAAGAAGAAGCAGAAGAAGAAGAAGAAGAAGAAGAAGAAGAAGAAGAAGAAGAAGAAGAAGAAGAAGAAGAAGAAGAAGAAGAAGAAGAAGAAGAAGAAGAAACAGAATTAACAGCTTATTTAGAATACGGCACCTTTTGATTCCCTTTAACTAGACTTTGGGATTTTGAAACAAAGATAAACTCCGTTTGTCTTTACATACAAGATTTGAATTATTCGAAGTTGTAGCATCACACCATAATTGAAAGGCACTTCTCCCCGGAACGAAGGGCCCTTTTCTCTACCTTATGAGTTCCGTGTAACCAGGAACCCAGTGTAGTACTGAGTACGTCAGGAGACACAGTCCTCAGTGTTTGCTGACGTATCGCTACCTTAGAATGACAAAGCTCTAACTGACATTTTTGGAAGTTTTGAGTTAATAAGACCATGTGGCTGGAAACCAAATTTTCTACCTCCTCTATCAAATCGAAAGATTATTCGGAGTAGTTATCAAGATAATCAAAGAATGCACCTAAAAAAGCTTGACATGTTGTAAAAACTCAACATTTTTAATGTCAAATTTCTCAAAACTAGGTACCGAGCAGATAGAACGTTGTAACCCTGAGGTAGCGGTATGTTGTATGTTATCCGCGCGGGAAGGTCCAAGGCGGACCGAAGTCGACAACGGGCAGACAGATTTTAAAAATTGATAAGAGACGCATGATAAGAGACGCATGGGGTTGACACTATCAAGTCGAGCACGTTCAAGGAAGGAAAATAACTAAAAAATTCAACACAACCCTGAAGGCAATGCAATGCTTTCGGGGAGCACGAGACTAAAACAACAGAAACCGAATTTAACTGATTGTACAACTTTAGAGGGATTGGAATTGTTTCGTGACTATTATGTATTGGAAATTGTTAGTCAAATACGTGAAAATCGTTGGCCAAACAAGTTGAAATAGTTTTGCAGCAGCTCAAGCTCCAAATGATTGGCAAAATAATATGAAATTTTAAATCAAGTAGTTTGACATGTTGGCGGCTATGCAACAGGAAACTTTTGGTCAAATAGGAAGGAAGCATTAGCCACGTATCTAGGAATTGCAGACGATGTAACATGAAACAGGTGACCAAGGAGAGAGAAATAAAGAGCGAGATAGAGAGAAAAAGAGAACGAGAGAGAGAGAGAGAG